GGTAAGTTGGGTCAGGGAAATTTATACTTTGCATGGATTCTCAACTTGTAATGGTTCTTTATAATTAAATAAATAAACAACACCAATCTGATTGCAGAATTAAAAAAAAAAAAAATTAAAAAAATATATATATTAAACAAAAAACTTTTTTTCTTTATAGATGTCATTCTACTAAATTATTGATTTCTAATAATTTATGGTAGGAGTGTGTATTATAAATATACCAATATACAAATTGATTATAGAAGTTAAAAAAAATTAATTTTATTATATTAAAATAGTATAGTGAACCCTTTCTAAATACACATCCCTTGGAACCATATGAAAATTTTTAAAAAATATGCGAAAGTAATTTTATTAAGAGTTCTATGTACTTGGAACCAAGCTTGACCATGCATTTAGAAAGAGAAAATATAATAAGTGCATTTATAGAGGGTGCATTTAGAGAGATCTCTCTGTATTAGTTTTGCAAGATTTAGTTGAAATTCTCAAATTTGGTCACGTGATCAGTATACATTCGAAAATTTACTCGAAAGTACATATTGCAACAAGTGCGGTAAGGATGTTGCACGAGTGAGCATTTTTCTGCAGCCCAGAATAGTAACTTAAACTCTGCTGCACGAGTGACACAAAAATCTGCTTTAAAGGACTGAATTCTTATTGTTAAAGATTTAAGGATTTAATAGGATCGACCGGTCATACGTCATAATTATAAGTTATTATTAATTCACTCGAAAGCGCATATTCTAGGCCTGTTCAATTTCAGTTTTTGTTTACTTAAAAGAGTAAAGTTACCATAATAATGGTAGGCCACTGTAATTAGTCATTTTTCCGATATGAATTTAATGTGATTTTAACACAATAACTTTTCATCTTGTTTCATTCGCCTAAAAACAGATACACCAGTTTTTTCTAAAGCGAGAACCAGAAGAATGGAACATAATCGATTTTCTCAAAGAATGTAATAATCTGGGTTCATATCAACAAATAATTTTGTGCTATATTTCGTCTCTTGATGAGATCATTAAGACAAAGGAAGGGGTCGAGGCTGAAAAGGCACAAAAATTATTTGATCATTATAAAAAGGCGAGTATTATATTTAGGCTTTACTAAGAAATATAGAGAATAAGTGGTGTGGTAGATATCTTCAAGACGAGCCACAAAATTGGTTGTAGAGCACAGGTGAACTTCGAGCTTGTCTGATGTACAAGTCTTTGAGACTGACCTCACCAGGGCACGGAAAATCTTCGAGTTTGTCTGATGCTAAGTCCTCGAGTCAACCTGGTGGGATAGATCGATGGTAATCATGGATATATCTGTTAAGAACATTATTAATCCGTCAAATTTTTGTTAGGGTTCCCGACCAGATTGTACTCTCGCCCGAAACTGGTGGGACAAACATACCAAAGTTGATCAATCATCAATTCACATGCAAATCACGGGGATTGAGACTATCAACGTGAATACTTCTGCATCGAAGAAAAGAACATTTCTGGAAATCGATGAGTTGAATACTACTAATAATGAAGATATTAATGAATTTGATGATGAAAATATAATCAATGAGGAACAAGTAGTAAGTTATATAATTTTCTTGTATTTTCACTGATATATATAAATTTTATTGGATGTATCCTATAGAAAGGACACAATCTTGAGGAAAGTTGGGAGTTTGAACAATCAATTCCTGATTGGCTTAAACGAAT